ACTTCTGAAAGGATCAGGGAAAAAAAGATAAAATATGCCTTTGTGAAACAAAACATTTATCAAATTGATGTAAGTTATAGTTATCTTAGAAAAAATTTCTTTTAATCTGGAAAAACAAATCATTAAAAAAAAAAGTTTCAACAAATGAAAATCCTAAAAATTATAATCCTCAGTTCATTCAGTCCCATGTTACTCTTGTTTTGCTTACATCTAGTTCTTTTATTAGTTCTGGAAATCCTTACCCAGTTCAGTTGTGTGATCTTAATGTTATCAGAAACCTGTACTCAGATTTCTTTCCATGAGTATCGGTGCAGATGAAACACATTTGCAGGAAGCTTTGTAAACACATCTAAGTTATAGGTGTTGTAAATGACAAAAGACTTAAAAACGCCCATAGCTAAAGATCTGATTAGTGTTCATTACGATGCAGTTGACAGGGAAATTTGGTTACTTCTTTGACACACATTTCAAGATAATAGGACATAACCTGATTTCTAGGAGTTTCATACAGTTTTTATTGTCTGGCTATGTAAATATAATCTGAGAGGGTTTAGTATCACTCATTTGACAGTGTTTCCCATGTAACTCAACAAGATTAATTAGTGTAATCTCTTTTTTTATATAAGGAAACCAAATGTTTTGAAATATGCCATGGGCCCTCTGGAATATTTTGGTTAGATTGTGATAAAAAGACTTTTTAGAATTTAATTGGGGGAAGTTTGTACATTTTATTAAATAGGATCACAGATCATTATGAACTATCTAACCAAAGTGACAATAAAAGATTTTAAAGGCAAATATAGAAGGTTACATAATTGTGAGCAAAGCTTGTCTCTTTTAATATTGATGACTCAGTTTTCCTGAATGCTTGTTTTTAACGTGTATTTTTGAGAGAGGGAGACACTGAATCTGAAGCAGACTCCAGGCTCTGAGCTGTTAGCATAGGACTCAACACGGGGCTCAAACTCACAAACCATGAGATCATGATCTGAGCCAAGGTCACATGCTCAACTAAGGCACCCCTATAAACAAAACTTTTTAATGTTAAAACTTAAATTTATTCTAGGCTTAGCCATTACTGGCCATATATAAAATTCTTTTCTATAAACCTATAAACTGTCTTTTTTACATTAAGATTTTGTCCTAAGTTTTCTTTCAACAAAAATGTACTTCCACCACATACCATTTTCTTATTGAAAACAATTTCCTTGTACACAGAATTGTTTCCCTTATTTTGCGTAGCTTTAACTCACTAATTTGGATTCTTAACACTTAGAAACTTTAATTTCTAGCGGAAACGAAATAGTGAAGTTTGTGAAGTAGGAAAACCTTGGTCTCACCTTCTGCATGGACACGGTGAATCTATCTCTCCATATATAGCAGTTCCTCCTGGAGAACCGAGGGCTGACTAGACACCTTCTGCACAACAGAGGTTGGAGGGAACACCTAGAGAACAGCAAAAGAGGTAGGGATTGGGGTTTCCAGTTATTATCGTGTCTAACAGTGTAAACTGCAGTGGGGAGGGATAAAATTGAGGGCCTGTGAGCAGATTTATCTGTTTTGGGATACAGATAAGAAGCCATGGTTTAAAAGGGCAACTATAATATAAGGGCACTAGCTCTCCGCCAAGCAGTAGGGGGCCTGCCACTGTTTACGCTCCACCATTTTGAGGGTGTAGATAGGATCCAGGCTCCCTGGCTGGCCTGCTGTTTCAATGAGCCCCCACCTCCAGCACATGCTGGGTAGACCTGGACAGCACTGACTACAGCTCCAGCTCTATCAACAAGGGCAGAACACCCTGGGCATGCTCCAGATGACTGCCCGGGCACCCCTTGTAGGTACTGCTGTGGGGCTTTCTACCTGGGCTTGCCAGAGTGCCCTCTGCAGAGCCCTGGCACCCCTAGTCCACACCTGCTACAGTGCCAGCCAAAATGGCCAGGCACATAGTCGATACTGGACATCCTTACACAAGGCAATTTCTTCAAGTTGAGAAAAGCAGCAGCTCTTCTACCGAATTCATAGAAATAAACACAAACAAAATGAGGAATGTGCTCTAAATGAAAGCCCAAAACTTCAGAAAAAGAACTAAATGAAATTGGAGATAAAGAAATGATTAGAAAATTGCTCAGTGGACTAGACAGAAAAGAACCAATCAGAGGGGAAGACTACAGTAACAAATGAAAAAGCAGCAAGTTAGAGAACGTAGAAGAATGGATCAGTGATCTAGAAGACAGGCTAATGGAAGGCACCCAACTTGAACAGCAAAAAACAAAACACTGAGTAAGGTTAGGTTAAGGGATATGTGGAACAACATCAAGTATACTAACATTCACCTTATAGGGCCCTCAGAAAGAAGAGAAAGGGTCAGAAAATTTACCTAACCTGGGGAAGGAAACAGCCAGATCCAAGAGGCACAGAGAGCCCCAAACAAGATGAACTCAAGGAGGTACACAACAAGACACGTGATCAAAGAGGCTCTTAAAAGGAGCCAGAGAGAAGCAACTAGTTATGTACAAGAGAATGCCCATGAGGCTGATTTTTTTTCAGCAGAAAATCTGCAGGCCAGAAGGGAGTGTGGCTTGATAACATTCAAAGTGCTGGGGAAAAAAAAGCCCTACAACCAAGAGTATTCTAGCTGGCAAGACTCTGATTCAGAATTGAAGGAGAGATTGAGAAAAAAATTCGCAGACAAAAGGTAAAGGAGTTTATCACCACTAAATTGGCCTTACAAGAAATGTTAGAGGGACTTCTTTAAGTGTAAAAGACCATAATTAGAAGAAAATTATGAAAGAGAAAGCATTTCACAAGTAAAAGCAAATCTACAGTGATAGTAGTATATCAATCACTTATAAAGCTAGTAGGCTTAAAAGACAAAAGTAGTAAAACCAATTATATCTAAGTTAAATTATATCTAGGGACTCACAAAAAGATGTAAAATACGATGACATATACATAAAACATGGAGGGGGTGTAAAACAAGTTCCTTTAGAATGTGTTTGAACCTCAGCAACAATCAACTCAATACAGACTTAGGTACTGAGGACATTATGTATGAGCCTCATGGTAACCACAAACTGAAACCTATAACAGATACACACAAAAAAGGAAGCCAAGCATAACACTAATCATCAATCACAAGGAAAGAGAAGAACTACATCCAGAAAACAATGAACAAAATGGCAGTAAGTTCATACCTGTTAATAATTACCTTAAATATAAATGCTCCAACCAAAAGACACAGGATGGCAGAATGGATAAGACAACAAGACCCATCTAGATGCTGCCTACAAGAGACTGAATTCAGACCACTTACAGACTGAAAGTGAAGGGATGGAAGAAGATACTCCATACAAATGAAGGGGGGGGGGGATGGGTTAGCAATATTTAGAGAAAACAGACTTTAAAACAAAGACTAACAAGAGACAAAGGCATTATATAATGATAAAGGGATCAATCCAATAAGAGGATATGACATTTATAAATATCTATTCACCCACCACAGGAGCACCTAAATAAAGCAAATATTAACAGACCTGAGGGAGGAAATTGACAATAAGAGTAGGGGACTTCAATATCCCAATTACAGCAATAGAGCATCCAGACAGAAAAATCAATCAGGAAAAGTGGCTTTGAATGACCCATTAGACCAGATGGACTTTACACATATGTACAGAACATTCCATCCAAAAACACCAGAATACACATTGTTTTTAAGTACACATAGAACATTCTCCAGACTAGATCATGCTAGACCACCAAACAAGTCTCAATAAATTTAAGGTGACTGAAATCATATCAAGAATCTTTTCTGACTGAAACAGTATGAAACTAGAAATTATAAGAATGGCAAAAAACCTAAGAACATGGAGCCTAAACATGTTACTAACTAACTGATGGGTCAATGAAGAAATCAAAATTGAAATTAAAAAATGTAGACAAATGAAAATGAAAACACAACAGTCCAAAATCTTTAGGACACAGTGAAAACACTTCTATAAGGGAAATTTATAGCATTAGAGGCTTACCTCAAGAAACAAAAATTTCAAATAATCTAACAACACCTGAAGGAACTAGAAAAAGAACATTAACAAAGCCCAAAGTTACAATGAAGGAAACAGTAAAGGTCATAATGGGAATAAGTGAAATTGAGACTAAAAAAGGTAAAAAAGATCAAGGAAACCAAGAGATGGCTCTTTGAAAACATAAATATAACGGATAAACCTTTAGCCACATTCATCATAAAATCAGAAATGAAGTAACAAATGACATCACAAAATTACAAAAGATTGTAAGAGGCTACAAAAAATCTATGCCACAAATTGGACAATCTAGAAGAAATGGATAAATTCCTAGAAGTATACAGTCTTCCAAAAGTGAATTAGGAAGACCTAGAAAATCTGAACAGACCAATTACTAGTCATGAAATTGAGTGGGTGATCAAAAAATTCTCAAAAGTCCAGGAACTGATGGCTTCACCGATGAATTCTGCCAAACATTTAAAGAAGAGTTAAGGCTAGTTCTCAAACTACTCCAAAAAATATCAGAGGAAAGAAAGCTTCCGAATTTATTTACTTATTTATTTATTAATTAATTAACATTTATTTATTTTTGAGACAGAGACAGAGCATGAACGGGGGAGGGTCAGAGAGAGGGAGACACAGAATCTGAAACAGGCTCCAGGCTCTGAGCTGTCTGTCAGCACAGAGCCCGAAGTGGGGCTCGAACTCACAGACTGCGAAATCATGACCTGAGCCGAAGTCGGCCACTTAACCGACTGAGCCACCCAGGTGCCCCATCTTCCGAATTTATTTTACAAGGCCAGCATTACCCTGATACCATCAGACAAAGATGCTACAAGAAAACTGCAGGCAAATATCCCTGATAAACATAGATTCAAAAATCCTCAACAAAGGGGGCACCTGATGGCTCAGTCCGTTGAAATGTCCCAACTCTTGATTTCAGCTCACATCAGGATCTTGGGGTTGTGGGACTGGGCACCGCGTCAGGCTCTATGTGAGCATGGAGCCCGCTTAACATTCTCTCTGCCCCTCTCCCCAGCTTGCACGCTCTCGCTCTCTAAAAAAACAAATCAACCTCAAGAAAATATTAAACTAAATTCAGTTCATTAAGAGAATCATTCATGATCAACTGGAATTTATTCCAGGATGCAAGTATGGTTCAATATCTGCAAATCAGGCAGTATGTGATACACCATATTGACAAAATGAAGGATTAAAAACCATAAGACCATCTCAAGAGATAAAAAAGCATTTGACAAGATTTAACAAAGTGGGTTTAGAGGAAACCTATCTCAACATAACAAAAGCCATTATGACAAACATAACTAACATTATACCCAGTATTGGGGCACCTGGCTGGCTCAGTGGGTTAATCATCTGACTTCGGCTCAGGTCATGATCTCTCAGTTCATGAGTTCAAGCCCCCCCGTTGGGCTGTCTGCTGTCAGCAGAGAGCCCACTTCGGATCCTCTGACCCACCCCCTACCCCTCAAAAATAAACTAAAAAAATAACGAGGAAAAGCTTTCAGCTAACAGCTTTTCCTCTAAGGTCAGAAACAAGGCAAGAGTAGCTATCTACTCTAACCACTTTTACTCAACATGGTACTGAAAGTCCTAGCCATAGCAGTCAGACAAAAAGAAATAAAAGGCATCCAAGTTTGTAAGGAAGAAGTAAAACTTTATTTGTAGATGACACAATACTATATATAGAAAACCCTGGGGCACCTGGGTGACTCAGTCAGTTTAAGCGTCTGACTGTTGATATTAGTTCAGGTCATGTTCTCTCTGTGAGATCGAGCCCCGCATCAGGCTCTGTGCTGACAGTGTGGAGCTTGCTTGGGATTACCTCTCTCTCTTTGCGCCTCCCCTGCTCATGCTAGTGCTCTCTCTCTCTCTCTCTCTCTCTCAAAATAAATTAACTTAAAAAAAAAAAGACTCCATCAAAAATTCAGTAATGTCTCAGTATATAAAATATACAGAAATCTTTCATTTCTGTACACTAAGAGTGAAATAGAGAAACTAAAACAATCCCATTTACAATTGTACCAGAAGGAGTAAAATACCTAGGAATAAGCTTAACCAAGGAGGCGAGAGATTGGTACTCTGAAAACTATAAAATATTGATGAAAATATTAAAGATGCTACAAACAAGTGGAAAGATATTCCATGCTCATGGAATGGAAGAACCAGATTGGTTAACATGTCCATACTACCCAAAGCAATATACTGACTTAATGCAATCTTTATGAAAATACCAATAGCGTTTTTCACAAAACTAGAATAATAAAATTTGTATGGATCCACATAAGACCCTGAATAGCCAAAGCAATCTTGAGAAAGAACAAAGTTAGTGGTATCACAATCTCAGATTTTACGACATACTACAAAGCTGTAGTAATCAAAACAGTATGATACTGACACAAAAAGAAACACCTAGATCACTGGAACACAACAGAGAGCCCAGGAATAAACCCATGCTAATATGGTAAGTTAACTTACAACAGGAGGCAAGGATATACCATGGGGAAATGACAGTCTCTTCAATAAATGGTGTTGGGAAAACCGGATAGGTACATGCAAAAGAATGAAACTGAACCACTTTGTTACACTATGCACAAAAACAAACTCAAAATGGTGTGAAAACCTAAATATGAGACCAGAAATAGTAAAACTCCTTAAAACATGGGCAGTAATCTCTCGGATGTTGGCCTTAGCAACCTTTTTCTAGGTATCTCTCTTCAGGCAAGGGAAACAAAAACAAAATTAAATTATTGGACTATACCAAAATGAAAAGCTTGTGTACAGCCAAGGAAACCATCAACATAAAAAAGCCAACCCATTGAATGGGAAGAGATATTTGCAACTGATATACCCGATTAAGGATTAATACACAAAATAAATAAAGAGCGTATTATACAACTTTACACCCCCTCCCCCCAATAATCTGATTAAGAAATGGGAAGAGAACTTGAATAAACATTTTTTCCAAAGAAGACATTCAGATGGCCAACAGACACATGAAAGGATGCTTAACATCATTCATCATCAGGAAAATACAAATCAGAACTGCAAGGAGAGATCATCTCACACCTGCCAGAATGAGTAGAATCAAAGAGATAAGAAATAACAAGTGTTGGTGAGGATGTGGAGAAAACGGAGCCCTTGTACACTGTTGGGAATGTAAATTGGTGCAGCCGCTGTGGAAAACAGAATAGAGCTTCCTCGAGGTTGGTAATTCCTTTTTATGATGACACAAAAGACACAAAGGAAAATAGTGACAGTCTCTTAGAGGAAATGGATCAGTAAAACCTAAAGTGTCCCACCAACAGTAGCTAAGCCCAAGGAACCAGTTCCACAATATTTTCTCCCGCTAATCTCAATTCAGAAAGAGAAAAAGATCCTCACCATTCTCACTCCATTGAACTGTAGACAGCTTCTGGGAGGCTGATATGGTAAGAAGTCTTACCTTCTGCCAGATTTATGTCAGATGTCCTAAGACCTCAAAGCTGCAGAATCTACAGCAAGTATCCAGTGAAAGTGTATCATGCCAACTGAAGAGGAGGAAGACATTTTCTTCTGTCCAAGGTTCTTCTGCTGGACTAAGAATTAAATTCATATGAGACAGATTAAAAGAAGAAAACCACCAGCATTTTATTTTGTGCACACAGACCCACTAATGAAACTGAGACTTAAAGATATGAGCAAGGCAGGCAGTTTTTATACATTTCAGACAAAGAATAAATCTGTGAGAAATTGACACGTTAAAAAAAAACATATTTGGGAGTTTTAGTATGGAATTCTAGGTGGAATTTGGGCTGAAGATTGGTCTAAAAGTAAAAAGGTTTGTTTCTACAGTTTTCTTTGCTACAAAGTGCCTATCTCTGATGATAAGGCTATCTATCTCTAAAAAGACATTCTTAGTGCAGGGAGGGTACCTCTCATATGGGAGATTTAGTTTCTGCTTTCAGGGGGACTGAGGAGGGTCTGAGTGCCTTTGCACTGACTGTTTTCCAAGGACCTTCAATTCAAGATGATTAGTATACCATTGTGGTCGGTATATTATGGGTGGCCGGCCCTTGGACACTGCAGGGCAACGCGGCAAAGACCTGAGCAGACGCACACACACTGAGAAGATCCTGATCATAGAGGTCGGAAATCAAGATCCTACATTTATTGTAGTTGGTTTCTTTTTGGCTTGCAGTCAATACAATTATGACTAATTCTGCCCTTAGAGAAACAAAGCATTTTGGTCTCAATAGCTTTATTCTGGAAAATGTGAGATCTTATCGGTGACAGTACATTCTTAGATCGAAACAACTGTAAATGTAGATAAAATCTATTAGTTTATTATTACTGATTGAAGGGACATTTCAAAATGAGTATAAAGAAGGGGCGCCTGGCTGGCTCAGTTAGAGAAGCATGCAACTCTTGATCTCGGGGAACGTGAGTTTGAGCCTGATGTTGGGTGTAGAGAGTACTTCAAAATTTTTAAAAATCTGGGCTGCTGGGTGGCTCAGTCAGTTAAGCGCCAACTTCGGCTCAGGTCACGATCTCACGGTTCATGAGTTCAAGCCCTGCATCAGGCTCTGTGCTGACACTTCCCCTGCTCATGCTTGTGCTCTCTGTCTCTCCCTCTCTTTCAAAAGTAAACATTAAAATTTTTTTTAAATAAGAAAAATCTTTAAGACAAAACAAGTATAAATAATATTTGTAAGTAAAAGTCATAAACATTGGGATATATTCAGTACGTACCAAGCTAGGGTGGAGACTTTGTAGTGTGCTCCTTCTAGCATCTTCCTCCCAGTAGACACTACAGAGAAGGGAGGAACCAGGGATCACATCTTTTCCGGTTCTGTAGTGCCAGGCCCAGTGCAGTGTTTGACTTGCATTCAGAGAATAAATGAATGCTTGCCAAGATTTCTTATTCCATCACATTTCTGAGAAACCATCTGTTGGTTCCCGATACCTGTTCCCACTCTTCATTAGCTGGTTGGCAAGAAAGCAAATGAGAGGAAAAACCTTTCTAAGATTTCTACCATTTCTAAGGAGTGGAGGACATACCTGAGGGAGTGTTGATGGCCTGGGGGTAATCAGGCTGGGGAAGAACATTCTGTATTTAGCACCTTGGGTCATTTGATGCTCGGTGCAAGGAGATGGCTCTCGGGGTAACATGAAGATTCTCAAGTCTTTGACGTAGGCTGCCTGGGGTGACCCTTACATCTTCAGAACCGGTGTTGGCTGATGCCTGGAGTTCAGTGTCTATTTGTCTATTCTCGGTACCATTCTGAGACACCTCCCCTGAGCTTTCCCTACTTAAATCACTAACCATTCTACCAAGTATCCTCAATTTGGACCAAGTGAGGCAGGCTGCAAGGGTACCAGAGATGGGAAGGGGGAGGAGCTTGGTCTACATTTAAAAGAAATAAGACCCATACCTGTTAAGAAAAAAAAAAAGTTACAATAATTCTTTGGCTTACTGAATTATTTATATCTTTTGAGATGTGAGAAGATGCCTGTGAACCAAGGAGAGAAGGAGTGGTTATTCCCCAGCACAATGAAAATGTCTGTGGACCACTTGCAATCACAGGTCATTTCTGTGCTACTCTCATCCAGGGAATGACATCATCCTCCGCAACAAGGGACGATTTCTAAAGTGAGATTTCTGAACAAATTATGTGGAGGAGGGGTGGGAAGGGACAGCAGGTCTTTCCCGTACCCAGCCTCTTCGCTCTTCGTTCAGTATCCTGCTTTAAGAACAGAGACTGGGGGAGAAGGGGTTGAATACCAGGACGGTTTGTACCAGAAGGCCTAAAAGACCGTTTGTATTCAGATTTTGAGCTTGTAAATATTGAGCAGCGGCTCCTTCCAGCCTTATGACTTAAGAGTTATCTGCGCAGAGAGTTAAGGAGGAAAGGGAGATTTTGTAGAAGAAAATGGTTTGCCGAACTGACTTGGTCTTTTTACCGTGATTTCTTACAAAGAGCAATTTTCTACGTTCTGAAACAACTTCTCAGACACCTGGTTTTTAATCTTGAATTGTACATTGTTTCTTAATAAAAGTGATACATTTCTTGCAGGTGTTTCCCATCACCATTACCTTTCAAGTACTGTGTGCGGTTTCAAAAAGCTCTCCAATTTTGGCCTTGGATAGTGTGTGCCGGTACATTTTACTACCAATGAGCGTAAGCAACCTGTTCTTCCTAATGCTTAGCAGCTGGATCCATCATAAACCACTTCTCAGGCTACAGGTCTGTTTCTACTTTACAGATTTAAGGAAGATCAGCCCACTTTTGGGGGTTTTAGAGGCTCGTGGCAGTAGGGGGCTGTAGCCAATCTCTTCACCCCTCCACTTTAATAGAAACACATTGATGTTTGTAATGCTGCAACGGCCAGTTCTATTTATCTCCAATTTGTTGCTTTTGAATAAATCTTACCACGAAAGCAAGTTTCCAAGCAGCTGGCCATGCCTAGTCTACGCCATTTAGTAGCCCCTAGATCCAGGACACTGAAAGAAAAAACAAATGGGAGATTTTGTACTAAATATAGTAGGATTAAAATTCATCCCTTTAAGGGGCACCTGCGTGGCTTAATGGGTTAAGCATCTGACCTCGGCTCAGGTCATGATCTCGTGGTCTGTACGTTCAAGCCCCACATTGGGCTGTGCCCTGACAGCTCAGAGTCTGGACCCTGCTTCGGATTCTGTGTCTCCCTCTCTCTCTGCCCCTCCCCATCTCTCTTGGTCTCTGTCTCTCAAAACTAAATAAACATTGAAAGAAATCCATCTCTTGAAAAACCACAGTGCAACTGTATCAGAAGGACAGGGCTTGGTGTTCCCAACTGGCCCCGAGCCGGTGACCGCGTGTGCCGGGACGGCCTCGGCGGCTGCTGAAGTCACTTCACGCCCAAGTCACACAGGCATAGAGGGGGGTGAACTCTAAAATGTGACGAGCTGCAAGCCTCCAAAAAATAAAGCACCCTTTGGGGGACGAAACCATGGTGAAGTTCAACTCCTGAGCATACTGCCTCACCCGTGGCGCCGTCTCCCACAGGGGAGCTGTGATCCCGGTGCCCCAGCAGAGTGTAATTGCAGACAGCTCAGCAGTAGCTCAGCCTGAAGACTTCTCTCGTTACATAAGGGCTCAAGCTCATGGGCGGATGTCAGAAAAGACCCAGTTTGTTTGTCCCTGACATTCGGCGTGCAGGCAACCATCCTAAATGAGCACAGGTCAATGAACTGAGTGTGTACTAACTTCAGAACGTCGTAAAAGGAAAAGGGAGCACATCTGGCTAATAGGCAAAGGTTTTCGATGATGTTCTTTATCTGCAAATTAACTTAATAAAATCATCCCATCATTAAAATTAAGTTATGTTCATGTCTGATTGTTTCTTAATCAGCACTTCAAGAATTCAGCATCTGGCCTCATTATTGCGCGTGACTCTGGTGCACAGATGCGTTCTGAAGCTGAGGGAGCTTGTGATGATAATTATTGGAGTTTTATTATTTCCTGTAATAGCTTCAAATGAGGTTTACTGCATGAACATATTCCGTTCATGAAGGCCACACATCTGTATGAATTTCCCAGGGTCTTTAACATTGTTACAATAATGCATTTCATTCCGGCAATTAAGTGGAGTGACATAGTACTAATAGTAAGCACATATTTACCATGTGTGAGGCACTTTGCTCGACTTGATCCTCATGACAAATCTTTGAAGTTAGAAAATTATCCTAGTTTCACATAAGGACACTGGGGCACAGAGGAGCTAATTAATGCCTCAGTTAACCTGTATGTGTCGGAGCTGGGCTTCGAACCCATGAGGACGGACTCCAGAATCTACGTTCTTAATCACAGCACTACGCCAGCTCCAAAATCTTAGTAAGAGCCTGTTTGGTGTAGATCTCTGTACGCTAACAGCAATTAGTGTTGAATCAGCTTGGCCGCCGATAATGTTAACACGTGTCTTTGAATTCGTATCTCATTCTCTACCTTTCCTCTGAGAGCTTATGAACGTTCTGCGATGCAAGCAAGAAAACAAAAACCAGAAAGTTAGTAGCAAAACAGGACTCGGAAACCGTTCTGGTTCATCAGAATGTCTCCATTATTCCCGGTATCTGAACCACAGGACCTTCAGGTTAATCAATAATATCAAACATGCAGTATGGAACCTTAGGTCATTAAATCACAAGGCCTTTATCAACAATTTGCTTCAGTAGCTATAATTTATAGAATGCTTAATGTGTGCATTAACCATTCTAGTGTCTCCAAGTTCTGTATCAGAAAGCATTTAAATTATGTTATCTCATCTACCTGGATACATGCCATCCCTGAAGTATACTTTGATAATAAACCTGCAACCATTATGCAAGGATCATTACAAGAGTGTTCGTTTTCAGTGATGCACTATCTTTGGCACAAATGGAGTAACACGCCATTCACTATCCACGGGATTGTCTAATATGCCCCTCTCAAACAAGAATCGGTGTTTCAGTATTGCTCACATTTGAATTCCGGAAAACACCGGTCTCTGCAGGTGTGTTTGCACGTGTAATTTTAGCAGAAAATGGAACCTGTCATCGTTTTTATTCAAATTTTGTCAGGATTAGGTTTAACTGCGTGTGATAGAGACCCAAACCACAGAAGCTTAACCTGATGGCTTATCTTTCCCAGGAGGTAGGCACCCCGGGGCTGCTTGAGCCACTCGAGGAAGGCAAAGTGGAGGCTGCTGTGCAATGGCACATGTGGATTCCAAGACCCCCAAACCCTCTGGTACCGGGGAGAGATCAGAATGAGAGGGGGGAACGGCTGCATTGCTCCCAGGGTACCCAGCACAGTCTGCCCCACGGCCAGACTGTAAACTAGTAATATTTAACTTGCAGACAAACAATCGAGCGAAGCAGCCCGCTTCTGCCTAACGTGATGGGCCATCTCATCCATCCAAAGGCGCCATCTCCAGTTCAGCTACAGTTCCCTTCCCTGTCCTCTAACCTGAAACCAAAGATCAAGCTAACCGCCCCGTCTTATGTAAACCACGGAAAGGGGGAGGGATTTGTCGCTGAGGAGAAAACCAATTTGCTAATGTTGATGCACTAATATATTCCTAACAGGGCAAAGAGCAAAACAGGCAGGCTGGGGAAAGTCTTCTTTTCAGAAACTGTTCTCGAGGCCACAGTTGACGTTTACAACTTTCTTATTCCGCCTCCTGTGCTGTGTCCCCTCTGCCTGCTCCCCAGCTTCTCAAGGGTCTGTACTGTGTCGGAACGACCCAAACCTCACTCCCGCAGTGCCTACACTTTTGGGGCTGCCTTCATTAATGTGAACCCCCGGACACGTGAGTCCCAAGGAAGTTTCCCAGGGGGCGCCCCGAGTTGCCAACATTTCTTACCCTCGTGGTATGGCAGGACCTTGTTTCCCCTTCGCACTCAGGATCCAGATTCCCCCAAGCAATGATCGCAGTCCTTTCGCCCACTGCCCCGGGGACCTGAGAAGCCAAAGGCGACCAGGTGGCATTCTCAACTTCCTCCCCAACTGGACCTCTGTTGCATCCCTTGGGAAAAGGTTTCCTCCCTGGGAATCTCTAACTTCTAGACCAGCGGCCCTTAAAGCTGTGGAAACAAGAAACAAACATTTCACAAGTTTTGTGAGGGGGGGAAGGGGTGGGCGCACATCGCATCTATCCCAATTTTTGGTCCCGTGGTGTCTCTCCGTGGGCGAAAAGGGACCGTATGTTGGTTATTGGTACAAGATACTGCATCTTGCAGGACAGTAGGGTTTACGTGCTCCTCCAATACCTGGCCGCTGAACCAGGCAAACCAGGGTGCGTCGACTTCCCTAGATCTTTTTCTTCTGGCTGCCACAGAGGCAGCTGGTCTCCCATGTTTGTTACTGGTTTAGGCCAACGTGAGTGACACAGAGTTGGCCCGGCTCCGTCTGTCTGTCTCTGGCATCTTCATCAAGCACAGCTTAAACACATGCAAATGAACACACACATTTGCAGTGTTTCTGGTGCGAATCCCGAAAGCTACATACTGTCTTTTTCTTTTGAAAGCTCCCCATCCCTCCCCCCACCCCCACTGTCTTTCTCTGGTGGGCCCGCTTTACATATGTTAAATCTGGGAAAAGATGTCATCAAAGGGAGAAAAACAGGTGGGGAAGGAAGAGATGAAAACACTCTTTGACAGTTCACTTCTGTTTTGCAGCTGCGAGGAGAGTCAGAGTCGCGGATTTGAATGACGTCACCTCCCTCAACAAGCTAATTAATTCTCCTTTTAAAACAAAACGAAAAAAAAAAAGTCTCCTTCCTTCAATCAGTGTCAACAGCCAATTGCAATCTTTCATCACCCAGTGTAATAACACAAATGTTATCAAGGAAGAAAACAGTTGGACCGACAAGATTAGCAATTCACCCCTTCTTTCTTAATCTTGTAATCACACGGGATGCAGTTTACAATAATATACACCCAAGTTTGCCAGTAAATTACCCCATAGAGGCTGTGCGTAAATTCCCCATCGTGTCATGTCTACTTTTGGCACAGAAGCACGTGTCTTCCTGTAGGAGACGTGGGATAAATTAAGACCAACTCCTCAGAGAGCTTTTTCCTCATCCATTAACCACTGCGGAAGGTTGTTAATTATGTAAAGAGGGGCCTACTTGGGGGAATATATAACCATGGATGACATTTAGGGGCAACAGGAAACTGAGGCATCTGACAGTGACAGAAGGTAGTTTGCCACTGATAAGATTAGCACTTTGCTGTCATGTGCTAGAAGACAAAAGGCTTCTTGCCTTGTTGGGATTAAACATTTGTTGACATGATTTGGGGTTTCCCCCCCCCCCCGACATTTTGGCTATCACTGCTCAAAAACCATACTCTCTACCACCCCAGCGGTTGTGAGTGTAATGGGCGTGAATTTTAGACCACAAGCTGCATTGTGAAAGCAATGTCGCTTAGAACTGATCTAAGGAAATTGACTTAAAGAACTGATTCCCAACCCCATTCCTGTTGGGCTGGTGGGTGTGTCTCATTCTCCATCTTGGTTATGGCTCCTGCATCTCCTTGGGGTTGAACAAAAAGACCCAGGAGGCTTATGTGATGTCTAGAGAATGGATGAGGGGTTCTGATCTCTGTCCATCCTTGGGTGTGGGGGTTCCCAAAGCCCAGTGACCCTGCAGTTCCAGTGCCTGCCCTGGACACACTGTCTTCTTTTCCCCTTGGCTATGTTACTCTTAGTATTTCTCGGGCCAAATGCCTAGATTAACCTCAGGCGGGGGAGCACAGGACCTGGAGGGGTAATGAAGGAAAAGACTGGGAAGGCAGAGGCGAACAGGACTCTGCGAAACACTGTGTAAGTGCAGATGCTGTTTCTCCCACCTTAGGAGAAGAAGAGCGCTTGGTTTAGAGCCCTCTGTCTGCCCGATATTCTCCTAGCTTCCAAGAGAACTCTCACCTTCACCGTCAGCTCAATCAGAGCAGGGTCCAGCTAGTGCCCGGTGTGGTCCGGGGACCCCTCGGCTTCTGCTGCTGCATCCGTACTTGACTGTAGACCTTGAAGGAGCATTTCTCCTTCCTGAGCAGCTAGAGGAATTTTAGATCTTTTCTGACAGCCACACTTCCTTCAGACCCCCTGTATCGGGGAAACTAGAATACAATTCCTACTTTCCCAAAGTCCTCCTCCTCATCATTTCTGCCCAGAAGGACTTGCGATCTGTAACTGTAAAACCCAGGAACGCATGAAGAAGCCGACCCCACAACCAGCCACCGTTGGGAGTCACACTCTTTCCACACAGGATCAGATCCTAGTTGTGTGAAAGAAACATCAAAATGGATGGGGCGCCTGGGTGGCTTGGTTGGTTAAGCGCCCGACTTCGGCTCAAGTCACGATCCTGTGGTTCGTGGGTTCGAGCCCCAGGGCGGGCTCTCAGTGCTGACAGCTCAGAGCCTGGAGCCTGCTTCAGATTCTGTGTCCCTCTCTCTCTCTGCCCCTCCCCTGCTCATGCTCTGTTTCTGTCTCTCAAAAATATATAAATGTTAAAAATTAAAAAAAAAAAAAGGAAACATCAAAATGGAGTCAGCATTGCTAAGAGAGCCATTTAAAATGGAGCCAGGAGGCTATTAAGGAAGCTGAGTTTATGCACATCCTCACCTGAAAGAAAAGATAAACTTCAAAATAGAGGTCTCTGCCAAACTACAAAGATCCCAGGGCACCAGAGGCAATGTTGCCATGTCCAGAAATGAACTTTTTTCTTCTACTTAGAAACAGACTTTTTGCTTAGTGATAGCCCTTAGCAACCAACCATGTAGAGATAAGAATAGATTCAGCTTGTCAACACCAATCGGAATTCCTGACATACAGTTTTACGAGGCTTTAGTGAAAGTCTCCTCGTTGCCTTTATAAGCCCACCTCTTTTCTCCCTGCTTTGGAACAGATTTTCAACTCCTGCTCATCTGGGTCTCCCAAACTGCAATTCTCGGGCCCCAAATAGAAGCCTTTAGTTTGCCTTCCAGTCTCGCAGCATTTCTTGTTCTACAGCAGTCAACGGGTAATACGACAAAATCAGAATATTTCTTAATGAAAACATATGTCCCCAATCTCCAAATCATCCTTAAGTAGCCAAAACGCCATCACCATAGATAATTTATGGAAGGCATTGCAGAGCTCAGCACGCTTAGTGCCTTGTGTTTGACAATCTCCCACCAGAAATGAATGGAAATATATCTATTTCCAATCAAAGATGCACACGCACCGCATGCTGAGTTCATTTCACACAACTAAGGCATAAATTCCACAAATACACTTTGTGGTGACAGCCTGCAGGCATTCAAAGGCTGGTGAAAAGTATGTTATGTGCCTCTGTGCCTCTGCCATTTCCAGGATCCAGAATGCTTGGGTAGATGTGGCTGGCATGGCCCACCAACCACCTGTCTGCAAGCAGAAATATATGATGAAAAATGAAGTTCAAGAATACGTGATCAATGACAAGTTATTGATAATGGGCTCCAACGGATTAAGAATTCCTACTGTTTTTAAGTGCATTATTCTAATTAATCGTTGAGTACCATATTTCACAAGTGCAGTGCTTAAACTAGAGCAATACCAAGCTGTTAGAAACTTGGTACTAATTACCGCAGTCTAATGCGGTAATCATGCTTACTGGTGATTCTCACCACCCAAGACAACTACTGAAAAATATTGGTATATTTCTTTCCAGTTTTCTCTATGCCTGCATATCATATACCAAAATGAGGATCGCGCTACATATGCAGTTCTGTGTTCTGTGTTATTTACTTAACGCTGTTTTGTATGCATTTCTTGTATTTTTTTGGAAACGTGAGTTTTAATGACATCATGACGTTTTATTATGTGGATGTCCCG